CAAGGTGTCCCCTGCCTTCACCCTAAGTCAGCTGGGATGGACTCCAGCCCCCCATGACCCTAGTGAGGATTAAGCGGTGTGTAGATAATGGATGGATGGATGGATGGATGGATGTATCAGTTTGGCTGTAGCCTGTGTTGAGAGTAAACGAAGACGAGAGCTAATCAAAAGTCCTTATAAAGCCCCGTGAAGCTGAGGAGTCCTGCAGTTTCTGGTGGTACCACGATGTTTTTTGATGCTTTCCTTAATAAAAATGTCAATTAGATGCTTTAACTAACCTTCCTAACTGAGGTCTTGTCCGCATTAATGTCAATAGTTTTGCAGATTGATAGATTCCTCTTCCGTTTCGAGCACACAGCTACAAAACCCTTGAACAAGCAACACCAGTCTACGTCTACGGTACATTCAATACCAGATATGTGTTTGTAGATCCTCCGACATCAACATCATAGTAATCTGAGGAGCTTCAGTGAAAACCAACCAGGTTTTTCTTCTTGGTTCTTGAAGACATTTTACTGCTCATCCAAGAGGCTGGAGGCTCAGACCAAAAGAGGCCTCCGAGATGAGAGGTGAAACACTTTCAAGAAACAAAAAACAGAAGTCCAGTTGCTTTTTACTAAAAATCTCTTCTGATCAGATTCTACAGCAGGTCGTTGTTTCTGTGACATTGAACTGTGGCTGTTATGAGCAAAGCAGCAGCTGTAAAGTTGTAACCGCTACTGCTAGTCAAACGTAAAGAAACTGGTGTATCTGGTATGTTACAGGTGCATGCTCATTACGAAACAACAAACTGAGGTGAGTCGTCACTTCCACACGGTTACACATCAAACCTGAATTTTAAAAAATCTGCTCTTCAGAAAGCTGAAGAAAAAATCTTGGTAGCAGTAGCAGCAGAAGGTCCAGAATGCCTGATGGCCAGTGTACAGTGACTGAAGTGTGAAGTAATCATTAATACCATCATCACCAAATGGCCATGTTCCATCCCATTAATTTATTCCTCACTATTCCTCCTTTGAGCCTCCTGATGCATCTAAAGATGAACACATTCCAAGAAGTTCAAAGTACAAAAATCTGAAAATCCCTGTTGGTCAGGATTTGCCACATCAACGTCTTCAACGTAGTGAAGGAAACTGATGACTGATGGTCTACAGGACCTTCAGGACAGAGTTTATATTTTAAACTCCTCTGAAAACCTGAAGTTTCAATCCAAACCGACGTTGACGTTGGTGTGTAGATGAGAAGGCGAAACGTCAAAGACAGTGTTTGTTTTCTAAAATGTCCTTTTTAGTGTGGACGAGCCCCAACATGTTGGTGAGCAGCTGCAACTCAATGAACTGGTTCCAGCCAAGACACGATCCCGGACATAACCCCCTGTGAAAGTTTCACATTTTGTTTTTGGGCGGATTAAACAAACACGATGCAACATATTAAATATAAACCCGACTAATCCAATCTAATCCAGTTTTTGTTAAATTCACTGATTCGTGTCCTGTGCACGTTTATGCTTGTGCACAGGATGGGGAGAGAGGGGGACAGTAAATCTGAGTATGCAAACCAGCTCCATATGAAGATTCACAGACTCCACCTTTCATTTTTTGTTCTTAAAGCTGCTGGCTGGCAGGTTTGCTGCCGTTACATGCAGCCAGGTTAGTTGTTGCCAGCTGTTTGCAGTATTTGTGCTAAGCTAAGCTAATCAGCTGTTGGCTGTAGTTTTATATCTAACAAACAGACATGAGAAAGGTGTCAGTTTTCTCCACCATTAGCACAATAAAAATGAACTGTTCCTTTAACACAGATCGTTTTAGGGTTTTCTCTACACTGTAACTGTCAACATTTGGCAGCGAGCATGACGGATAAAAATATGTTAAAGTGTACACTGTAATGTTCAAAAACTGTAAAATAAATAAATAAATAAATAAATAAATTTTAAAAAGGCAAATATCTGTAAAATAATTAGATTTTTAGCCGATTAAAATGTGGTGAAGCATGTTGTGAAAGAACAAATTACTGTTTGTAAAAATACAGACTTTAGATGTGGACATGTTTTATAGTTTTGGCCTGTTTTCAATGTTTGTTATTGTAAATTAATATTTCTTTCTGTGATTTTCAGTAGATGTTACTTATAATTCAACAAAACTGGTAAAATATGTAAAATAATCTTATTTATTATGAACCCATTTATTTCTTTAATCCTTGATATACATATTTTTCTTTGAAATATTGGCAATAATATGTGCAACAACAATATTTTTTATAGATTTAAATGCAGTTGTTTTTTTTGTGTGTGTGTGTGTGTTTTTTTTAAAGGTGTTAATAAAAATACTGATTTTTGATGTGGACATTATTTGCAGTTTTGGGTGTTTTTTTAAAGTGGTAAGATAAAACAAATCCCAATTCAAAGACGTTAAACTTAAAAAATAAATAAATAAAAAATTGTTTCTTACGATGTGCAGTCTGTTGCAGCTCCTGGACACAAGTGTGTGGCTTCTTGACATTCTAACATTATAGTGTTTCCTTCTCTTATATACACTGCTGATGTCATTTTTACAACACGACCTTCGCCCGAAGGCCCCCTGATTAGATTAATAATCAGCTTACAACGATTAAAGAAAAGAAGGTGATCAAAGAGGTCAGAAACAGCACACAGGACACAGCACTCCACTACCAAAGTAAAGCTCTTCTATCAAGACACCCATCACCAGCACACCACGCAGCTCTTAAAGAGACAGGAGACGACAACATTGAACTGAGGTCATTTCATCCTGATGACATGATCAGTTTAATTAGCTTCACTCCGCTGTCTCTTTAAGATGTCTGGAAAAGCACTTATTTTTTCCTATTTACCTGGGCCTTTGGATTCGGTTACCTCTAAAAGCATGTCATGCTTAGTTTCCGTGGCGTCCGTTGCCATGGTCACCGCACACCTTGGCTGTGGTGAGAGAAGAAGGAAGTGAACATGGGGATGCTGCTGTTTGCTTTACTGAAGAGGGGGGTAAAGGGAGCCAGGACATTTTATTTCTTTTTTGTTTGTTTTAATTGAGAGAAAAGAGACACATCAGGACCGAGGCTCTGAACATGTACTGCTGCAGTTTGACTTCCACATGTCCTGCCTTTTAGTTTACTCTCCGTTGCCTCTAGCGTTATCATCAAAAAGGTCGGCTTTGTCAGCTCTCGCAGAATGGCTCTTGGTGACTGACTCGTCTGGGGAGCGATAAAGCCTCCGCTGTTTTAAAAGCGAGACGAGCTCTCTGAGGCCACTCTGTTGTGGCTTGTTGGTGCAGAAATGTTGGCTTTATAAAGTCAGCTGTACATCTGAGATGAAAAATCGCAGCTAAGATGCAAGTAAAAGCAAAAAAAACCAAAAAAAAAACAGACCCTGTTAGTCAAACAGCAGGATGACCCCTTTGCACCCATAATTAAAGCAGGAATAAAAACACCAACCACACAAACCGAGTATAATTTGCATCTCATAAACTGACAGGAACCAACAAACCACAGATGGCCTCCTGAACCCTGAACCCTCCTCCAGCCAGCACCTGTCTGCGGCACGTCGGCCAAGCCAGAGGTTTTCTGATGCGCTGCGGAAATGTGGGTTTAAAACCACAAGCACTCCGAGGTTCGGCAGTACAAAAAAAAAAAAACAACAGAGAGAGACAGTACTGAGAGAGCCGGAGAGAAGCCCGCTGTCTCCAGTGGGATCAGCATGTCGTGGGCTTCCTTCCTGAGGGTGACGGAGCCGGACAGACTCTCTCAGAAATGTCTCGCAATCCAAAAAAAAAGAGGCTCTTTGTCCAGTCTGACTCCAGCCAGCGCAGAACAAGGAGCGAACAAGCATGTTTGGTAGTAGGAGTGTGTGAACATAGACAGAGTGTATGCTGTGAGGAGACTGTGTGTGAACAGAGGTATTGTGGATTCTCTGTTTGTTGTTTTTTTTTACTGTTTGGCTGCCAGTCCTAATGTTGAGCAAATGTCTGTGTGCTGAGAAGCTTTTATTTTAGTGTTTATGGGTGCGTGTGTTGTCCGATTGCTGCAGAGGACAGATAGAGATGGGATGAGAGAAGCACGAGGAGCGGCCATGTGCTCTACAGAAGCAGAGAGATGCCTTTGACAGGGATACAGCTGCATCATAGTATGGCGGCGGCATAACACGATGCTGCGTCTCAGCGCTCTCGCAGCAGCTCAACATCCTTCGGGCCGGACAAACTACCAGTAGTCCTGATGGCATGTTGGATATAGCGGCTAAGTGCCATAACCTGACAGCACAAGTAGCTTGCTGACAAAGCAGACAGACGAACGTGGCGGGGCCGTGTTAACAGTTTACCTATTTCAGCTGCACAGCTCGAGATGGCTGCGCACCACTGCAGTAAAACCTTAGGGAACATCGATCTGCACCTTTTGCACAAAGCTTGTTTTACCCAGACGGACGTCGCCGCTGCCTCCGCTGTGGCTTTGGGGAGGGGAAGGGGAGGGGAAGGGGAAAAAAAACGGTGAAATAAATACAGAAAAGAGACAAAAAACAGCAGGTTGGGGTTTGTTAGGTCTGTTAGCATCAGGTGCATTCAGTGTGAGGAACATGAGCATGGCGTGGAGGCTGACGTGGTGGTGGTGGTGGAGGGAGGGAGGAAGGAAGGGTGGGAGGGAGGCGGTGATGGAGGATGAGGAAGCAACACAGAGGAACGTCATCTATCAGCATGTATGAGCTGACAAACACGGTTATCATCTTAAGGCCCCACGCAACAACAACACCAACTCACTGTCCCGGCTCTCATTCTTTGTCTGAAGTTTGAGCAGCCTCTGGTTTCCATGGCAACGCGTTTGCAGCAGCCAGAGGACACGGACGCAGACACAGAATCAACACACACACACACACACGCACACAACAAATCCTTATCACTACAAACAGACTGAAATAGTTCGCTCAGCACACAACACCTGCATACGCTCCCGGTTCTCCTGATGTTTTAACAGCAGCTGCGTAAAGCGGCATTTCGGGGGCAGCGAGGGAGCATCCGAGCGTTATTTAGCACACGCTCTGTAGTGAAAACGGCTGGGTGATTCCAACAAATAAATATCAGAGGTGTGTGGTCATTAATCACTGTCGGCTCAGTCTGTTGCACTGCTGCTGCATAAAACACCAACTTAAACAAGTCGGGACAAGTTGGCATCCAGTCCTCGCACTAATCCTCTTTACATGACAGAGAAAAGTTATTTTTCTCCTGTGACGCCACAATCATATTTAAAACAAAACAGTTCTGCCGCATCACATCACTGCAGTTACAAACGGGCTGCTTCTATTCCCAGACAAGTCGGACAAAAAAAGGCCTTTATGTCAGCAGCTGCTGCTTCTGCTAATCCATCAGTTTTTACAAAAAAAATAAAGAGAGCATCCTCTGGGAAAGGTGGTCCTGATGATGTTCAGCAAAACCAGAAAGTCTGGTTTTGATATTTTACACTGAGCATAGTGTGTGTTCTGTCACTGTCACTGTGGAAGATTTGAAATGCCTGAAAAAACTAATAAGTCAAAGAAATACTAAACGCCCTCAGGCTGAACATCACTGTGATGCAGCACTCCGCCTCACTCAGTTTTCAGAGTTGGGGTTTGCTTTTAATGTGGCACGGAGAATTCATTTTATTATCAAAGTCAAATGTCCAAATAAAGTCAATGTATGCTTGTTATTTATTGGTGAAATATGTACCTCATTACATGGTCTATTTGTTTTGTTCATTTAGTGAGATTGTGCCATTGGGGGGTGACTATACATAACTTTAAATTCAGCATTTGCATGTTATTTCAAACCATTTGAAAAAGAAAAATGTGGATTATGCTTGAATAAATGAAACCCCAACTAAAACTTTCCAAAAAGCCTTTCCTAGTATGGTAAAGGGCTGCTATGTTTAATCACATTTATTAAACACCCACTGATGTTGTGCAGAGTTCACAAAGTAGTCAGTTATCGCTTCACTTTTCATGTGAGCAACTGAGAGCGACATTAGTAACATCTTCCACAAGAAACATGCGCATGTCTCCCCATATTTACATGGTATCACATGCGACACTTAAAGAGACTACTTTACACACTAATTGTATGTACAGATGGATGAAAACCTCTGTGACATCAGCCACAGATTTCCTGAACAGTGGTTTGGAAGTATGGCTTAGTACGGTTTTTGTCGCCATCTTGGTAGCGCCTGTCTCCTCCTAAATCTCGACTAATCCAAAAAAAATAAGCAAAGATGTGAAGCGTGAGCTGAGCTGAGGCGGGCCATGCAAACATCTCTGAACCATGGACTCTTGTCTTGTGAAGGCATTTTGTCATTTAAAGTTGCCACGCCCCTAATTATGTATCACTTTAGGTCTTAATATAATGTATACAGTTGAGTTATATAAAAAATCCACCTCTGTACAGTTGTCATCAACAGGGATAGCTACAGAGACCAAAAGTGTTTTTGTACCTGGCTGTGAACATGTTTATTTCTGTTGTAAAGTTGGGCATTTTAACATGGGAGTCAATGGGAATTTAATTGCTTTTGGATGCAGCCTCAAGTGGCCATTTGAGGAACTGCAGTTTTTGGAACTTTCACACTAGCTTCAGTCCCCAGCTCTGCAGGCTGGTGTGCACAGTCGTGCTGTAAATATGTCACTGTGACCTCTGCCCCTTCCCCAGGACTACAGATGGAAATTAGCTCGACAGCTATAGTCTGGTACAAGCATCCTTGCTCTTGAGCATAATGTAGCTGTACATTGTCCAGTCAATAAACAATAAAAATAAAATTAAAACACTAACATTAGCAAAATTAGTAAAATTCTCACAGTGACAACGATAATATGTTGATGCTAAGCAGGTATAATATTTTCTATGTTCATGGAAGTTAGCATGCCAGATGAAAACTCAGTGGCATTCCCCCTCTGCGGACCACAACCTTCAATCCAGACCGACTAACTGACCGAAAGACATCACCTTCCCGGCAGCCGTGCCGCTTGGCGTGGCTAAAAAGCCTGATTAAAGGTGCTGAACAAACAACAAGACCAAATACATTCAGGTCCGATAGGCCTAAAAGTAAACACAAAACCTAATGCGTTCTTGGTATTGGTCCCCTCAAGGTATCCAAAGCGTGCATGTGGTGTAACAATGGATTTGAGCGTCACATGCAACCTGTATCACATGACCGTGGTTATATTTTCCACATTAGCTAACGGTAAGCGTGCAGGCTAACAACAGCAGCAAAAAGGCCCCCCATCCACTGCTCGACCATTGCATGTTGTGATTTGTCATATTCACAGCTGACAAAAATTCTGATGTACAGTAATATCAAGACTTCACTGTCGCCTTGTTCAACATGAGCTGCTGATAAAAGCTTTCGCACATCGAGAGCCACGATCTATACTTAAGCAGTACATGAAAGCTACAGTAAAGGTCGCCCTACAAACAACACCAAAACCTAACTTTGTGTACAAGAATGCCTTCTTACCGTCCTGCAGTCGCTCTGCGTGCAAGGCTGTCTGAGTGTGCTGCCGTTCCACCTGCCTGCTGTCACTGTGGATCTAGGGCATTACCTGGAGTCAGGTGTCAGATGCAGTAAGGACTTGACTGTGTGTGTGTGTGTGTGCCGTGTGTGTGTGCCGTGTGTTTGTGGGCGTACAGGAGAGTGACTCCCTCAACATCTCTAGATATTCTCACATTGATGAAAATTTGATAGCCTCTCTAAGGTACCCTGGAATTAAAAAAAAAAGAAAACTGGCGTGGGTGTGGGCTCGCATGTGCGTCGGAGGGCAGCACATGTACAGTGAGGGCAGGAGGTGTGTCGGCGGGAACAGGGGGCAGTGTGAGCGCTGAGCGAAGAGAGATGGGCGTTCTCCTGTGTCTATTAGTGCTGCTGTGCTGAGGAGGCACAAAGTGACACTTTGTTTTC